ATGGGGCAGGATGAGGATATGGGGCAGGATGAGGATATGGGGCAGGACAAGGACACGGAGCAGGATGAGGATATGGGGCAGGATGAGGATATGGGGCAGGATGAGGATATGGGGCAGGACAAGGATATGGGGCAGGACGAGGATATGGGGCAGGACAAGGACATGGAGCAGGATGAGGACATGAAGGAGGATGAGCACATGGGGCAGGATGAGCACAAAGGGCAGGATGAGCACAAAGGGCAGGATGAACACAAAGGGCAGGATGAGCACAAAGGGCAGGATGAGCACACGGGGTAGGATGAACACATGGGGCAGGATGAGCACAAAGGGCAGGATGAGCACATGGGGCAGGACAAGGACATGGGGCAGGATGAGCACAAAGGGCAGGATGAACACAAAGGGCAGGATGAACACATGGAGCAGGATGAGCACATGGGGCAGGAGGAGCACAAAGGGCAGGATGAACACATGGAGCAGGACAAGGACATGGAGCAGGATGAACACATGGAGCAGGATGAGGACATGGGGCAGGATGAGCACAAAGGGCAGGACAAGGACATGGAGCAGGATGAACACACGGAACAGGATAAGGACACGGGGCAGGATGAGCACACGGAGCACAGGGACATGCCCTGCCCCAGGGGCAGTGAGGGGGGGCCCGGGGGGCTCCAGCAGCCCCTCAGCCAGGGGTGGAGGCCAAGCTCCTGGACACAGAGCCCCCCGACCCCCTGGGCTGCCCTGGGGGCTCTGGGTTCCCAGCAGGAGCTGGGCTGGGCCCGCGGGAGGGGTGCCAGGTGTGCCCGGGCACAGCTCACCTATGAGGGCCACCTTGCTCTCCTTCATGGAGTCCACGACGCGGTCCAGCTTCTCCTCGGACGCCGTGTTCTGCACCTCGCTCAGGTGGTGCTCGTCGAACACCACGGGGACACTGGCAGCCTGGCACAGGGAGGGAGTCACCGGGACCCCTGGGGACGTGGCACTGCCCGGGACAGGGGGGTCCGGCAGCCCTGACCCAGCCAGGGCCCTGCTCAGGGAACTGGGATCACGGAAAGCTGACCCCGGACCTCGGGGTCGCTTCAGTGGAGCAGTGACACTGATAAAATCGTGGAATATTTAGGGTGGGAAATACCCCTGAGACGCCCCCAGCACTGCCAAGGCCACCCCTGACCGTGTCCCCAAGTGCCACATGCACAGGGTGTTAAATCCCCCCGGGGATGGGGACTCCCCCCACCCTGGGCAGCTGTGCCAGGGCTGGACAGCCCTTTCCAGGGGGAATTTCCCCAGTATCCAACCTGGTGACCACCCCATGCCATGGGCAGCCTGTACCAGGGCTGGAGAGCCCTTTCCAGGAGGAATTTTCCAGGAAGGAGTTTTCCAGCTGTGTAACCGCTATGGTGCCCCTTGGCTGTGCCCATGGCAGGGCAGGACTCGTGTGACAGACAAGGGACTGCTCCCGAGTGCCCCCGAGCTCGGCAGGGAGGACACAGGGCCCAGGACACCCAGGGACGCCGGGCAGTGCCAGCCCTGCCCCGGGGACAGCAGGAGGGGCTGTGGGGCCGGGCTCTGTCCCGGGCAGGGTCCTTACCTTGAACACCTCCTTGACCGCGTGCATGAGCTCCGGGCCCACTCCATCCCCCGGGAGCATCGTCACCTGGAATGTGCCCTCGGCCTTGGCATTCTGGGACTGCGGGGACACGGGGGGGTCAGGGCCAGAGGGTCACCTGCACCAGGGGCAGAACGTCCCCCCCACAGCACACATCTGCTGTGGGCACAGGGACACCGAGCTCACAGGGCTCGGGGGTCTTACAGCATCATGGAATGCTGGGGTGGAAAAG